ATATTGTATATAATAATAATATTCAAATTGAAAATTCTATTAATTAATATATTATTTAATTTAATTTTCCATCTGGTTTATATTAATTGACATATTATATTGTTAGTGATCTGTTTTAGTTATATTATGAATGTTTGAAATTGACAAAAAAAATTAACATGTCCTTTTTGGTCATTTTACATTTCTTAACTCGCTTATCGACTTGTTTTTGCTAAACGTAATAGTTTACCAACTAGTTTTTCAGCTACCAGTTAGGTTATCAGCTAGTTTGCCAAATTTAGCCTTAGCAGAAAACAATGTTGTTTCACTAGTCAAAAGATTTATGCTGTGCTATGCGACAAATGTTTCTTAAGCTTCCATCTTCGTAAGAGATGGTCATTTACAAATGATAAAACATTTTGTGACTCTATTATGGAGATTATGTTTGTTGCTTATATATGCATGACTGAAACCATGTGATTGCTGAAAAGATTAGTGATTATCATGTTTTGGGTTCCCACATAGAAATGCAATCACATTTAAGAAGTATTCAGGGTAATGGTTGATAAACTCTATTTATGCTATAACATTTAATTAATTGTTTTATTTTATATTGTGTTGTACTCACATCTTCACACAAACCGTTCTCAAATTTATGTAAAAGTTGCTCATATTTAGTAAGCAAAGATTCCTAAAAATCTAAATAATGAATATCTTCTTGGTAATCAAATAGATAGACTACTCACCGACTAAGCTTACCTTCACGAATCCTGAATTGCCAACTCAGTGTAACGTATATGTTAGGAGTAATTAAAGAATATAGTGAGTTTGGTGATGTAGGATTCGATCCGAATGAGCTCCTTGTCCTTTTCTGCAAAAAGAAAATCGCAAAAAACTTTTTCACAAACCAGGGGTTTCATTGAAACAATCTCTCTACCTAGGGGCGAATTTAAGAAAGCGTGCACTGCACGCGCTCTATGAGCTTAATGGGAAAAAATTTAGGATGCTTGTTAGAGGTGAATGAGCTTAATGGGACTCGGCTTATTTGGTCAACTATACATGATTTTTTGGTAGTAGCTTAATGATATGAAGATGTTGATTTGGTAAGCTTCTAGGTAGGAGTTTTATGCAGAAAGCTAAGTTTTTCCCCCAAAACCTGCCCCTCTCATTTAAAAAACACGCTCCTTCCATCTATGAAAAAACCCTCCCAAACAAAAACCTTCCTAATCCATACAGACAGAGTAATTCACACACACAGCTTTATCCGTACAGGACTTAATGGGAAACCAACCAAATAGCAGGAAAAAAAACTTGTATATCATTTTTAAATGAACCGTACTTTTTAGAATATAATTTTTATTTTATTTTATATAATGCTAAATATTTAGTGGTCCCCCTTGGAAATTTTTCTGGACCCGCCTCTGTCTCTACCCTTGGGATAGATATAAGGTCTGCATACATCCTCCCCCTTAGACCCTACTTCCGCGTGGGATATACTCAGTCTATGTGCTGTCGTGTTTTCATGGCATTGGTGGTATTGAAGAATTAATTATGTCATTAATTTCATATGTTTATTGAATTTTGTAAAGACGCGTCTACCAACTTATTTATTGTTTCTCATCCAGTAATGCTCGAGTTGTGAACCCAGTTTGGTTTGCTTTGGAAACCACCGCTCAAATCGATTATAAGAGAAGGGGAGCTCTGAGGGCTAAACATATCTCACTTGATTCCAGAAGGTATTCGGATGAAAAGTTTTATGTGATTTTGCTTTCAGATATCCTATCGGCATCAAAGGAAAAAAGCAAGAGAATAAAGCAATCAACCTGCAGGATTATAAGAAGGGCACCACACTAAGTAATAATGCTTCACCTCTTTGCTCGATTTCTTGGATATATCGAAAGCACGTAAATGCAATTGCTTTCATTTATGCCTGATATTGGCTTTTGTGAGTTTAGATGCGAAATACCTGTTTTTTAACTTCGCCAATTACAAAAGTAGATTGCATCTGTTATTGCTCTCAATTTCTCATATCTAGCAATGATCAGGATCAAACTCGTTTGAGTACGATTTTTTTCCTTATGTAGTTGCACAATTGTTATAAAGGCGAGTATACATTTCTTACAAAGCTTACATGATATTATTTACCTTTGCTTGAATGGAAATTCATTACATATATATTTCTAGATTTTTTGCTCTTTTTCTATATGTAGTTCTATAGTTGTGTTATTTTTAGTCTTTGTAAATTTGGAATGCGATAAAGAAAATTTCCAAGTCAATTTTGGTGTTGAAAGGGAATCTTTTCTGTATTTTTCCCTATCCGATTCCTCCATTTTTTACGTGTGGCTGAATAGAATGGTTTTGGGCTCATTTTTTAAATTTTATATATGAAACGGTTACAAACATGTGAGAACCAATTTTAATGTATTAATATTTTTTTTTCTATCTAAGGCTGAGATTTAAGGTATTGTTTCACATATATTCATTTTGCACTGTATTTCTGTAATTTTTTTGTTTCACAGTGTGAAACAACACATGATTCACAGGTTCTCATGGTTCTCAAACCTTTTTTGAGGTTCTCATTTGATTATGCCTCTCTCTCTCTCTCCCCCTCTCTCTCTCTGTATATATATATATATACACATATATAGTGTATTTGTGTATTCATCTATAAAAGCTGCTTAGATTTGCACTCGTAAAAGGCAGCGTCTTTCTTTGAGCATCTTTTTTTTAATTAAAAGAGTAGTGTCAGTTTGCTGATGTTTGACATTTTTATCGTGTGATTACCGCTCCAGAAAGAAGAAGATGAAGCATATTCTTGACTTACCGTATGAGATTTTGACCACCATCTTGATCATGCTAGCATCATCCTCTGATGGTGCCGGTGACATTGCAAGGATTTCAACCACGTAAGTAACCCTATTCTACTTGTTTCTTACATTCTTCTTAAAAATGCTCATTGGATCTTTGATTACACGATGTTTGCTCCTCGCCACAGGTTTTTGTTCGTATGGCATCTATGGACCTTTCTGTAAAGTGAACTTTAATCCATGGTTCGTTAAGTTGGATGTCATACACTAGAAACAAGATTCTGAACCCTTTTTCTACCATAGGATGAACAGTTGTTCTACTCTTTGGGGTAAATGACAGGTCTGCAGAACCCCACCTCCAGGGGAAATTGACAGAAATAGCCCATATTGCAAACACGGTTTCACTTTTGAGCCATTTTTCTGACCCAAATTCACTTTTTAGCCATTTTCTGACCCAAATTCACTTTTTAGCCAATCTTTATGCAGAAGGCTTACATACGCGTAAGGATTGGTTTTCAGCCAAAAAAAATCCTTACGCATATGTGTAAGGTTTCCACTATAATATGGTATATGGTGGAATCTTTACGCAGAAACCTTACACATATGCATAAGGATTCTTTTTTTTGCTGCAAACCAATCCTTATGCATATGCATAAGCCTTCTGCATAACGATTCTAAAAAGTGAATCTGGGTTAGAAAATGGCTAAAAAGTGAAACCACCTTTCAGCTTTGGCTATTTATGTAAGTTGTGGTGTCGTACACTATAAACAAGATTCTGAACCCTTTTTCTACCATAGGATGAACAATCGTTCTACTCTTTGGGGTAAAAAACAAGTATGCGGACCCCACCTCCACGTGGGATACCAGGTTTGTTTGGTTTGATGAACTTACTTGACTGCCCGATAACATTACCCTTTTGTGACCAAAAGTTTTACGGTTTTAAATCAGCAAAAAGTTGCCACGCTAATAACCTGCGTTGATCCTATTTCCTACTCTTTTACCATATTCTTAGAAGTAAGAAGATAACATTACGTTTTTCATGCAAATTTTTTGTACAGATGCATAAGGTTTATGAGCCTTGCTAGTCAACCCCATGTTTTGAAGGCGGTTAACTTCCGAAGTTTGACTTCGACCGAAGATTATGAGCCACATCATAATTTGAATGGCCTCCTTTGCCAATGTGCAGAAGCTGGAAATTTGGCTGCTGAAGCCATGCTGGGAAGGGTTCGTTTGGACAATTTCCCAAATCATATTCTTAAATCATTTTAGTGCATCACAAATTTATTTGAGCATCTCTTGTTTGTTCGTGGGGTTTTCGCTGAAACAGTCGTTTTACCCTTGAATACGAATCACCAATCAATCCATGACACATCGTCCCTTGATTGAAGAGAGAATAAATAGATAATTAAATAAATATATATACTCCCTGTGTCCCAAGATAAACGTCCACAATGAAAAAAACACATGGTTTGAAAAATGTGTAATTATTAGACTTTTTAATTAACTAGATGAAAATTGTACCCTTTTTGATAGAGGAACCGAGGGAGGAGTAAATTTCTACGTCTCATAATTAAGGGTAGATCGGAAAGTAGACACTTACTTTTGAAAGTGAACACTTATTTGGGACAAACTGAAAATAGAAATGTTGACACTTATTTTGGGATGGAGGGAGTATTGAATTAAGTAATAATATGTCATGAGTTGATTGGTGGGACACGGACACTACAATAAGATTGGCTTTATAGGGCGCATTGATTGTCTAAGCATCCTAATAGAATACTTTATAGGACTTAGGTTTGTAGAACACTTTATTATAAAGACATCCTAAAAAACTTGTTAAACCGTTTAAAAGTGTTCTATAAACCTATTATAACACTCTTAAATTGGACACTATTTGGTCCTATAAACTTAAGTCCTATAAAGTACTTTTTTAGAATGCTTATACATTTTAGGCGTTCTATAAAATCAATTTTGTTGTAATGGGAGGTGACTAAAGTTTGGGGACAGGGGATTCGTATTCCTACTCTTTGGGATATACTGAGCTTGTTTTGTTTGGTTTGTTATGTATCCTTTGATATTTGGTTCGTTATGACTCTAACAACCTACGTGTATTTTGCAGGCTCTACTCTTTAACGATTATTGGTTCTGGAACGTTTTGATGGATGACAATCAACCACTGATAGCTCGAGAGGGGCCCGCTAGTGGAGTTCTGCTGCACGAGAAACTTGTGAGATCGTTCATTGCTTATAGTAGTTGTCAAGACATGGCTCCGATGCGTATCCCGTTGTTCAGCTACATGATCTCGTTCCTCGGATATGATGTTGCTCGTGAATGTGGCATCCTTCTTGCCGTCACTAATCTGTGTTCCTACGAGATCATAAGGCTTAACGTCCGCAGCCTAAGCAACATTCCGGAAAATTCTGGAAACAATGTGTCGGTGAGCGGACTTAGCAACGCCATGGCTCGACTGACGCCACCATCTGGAGCGACCCATCGAGAACGATTGCTTGCCCTGTTTGATGAGTTTTTCCCATCTGCTCCTATCTGAGTTTGTAACATCCTTTGGGGACATGAAATAAATAAAATATAAAATATAAAATGGTTTCTGAAGTATTTTGTTTGTGGTTCACAAGGTTTCTTTGACGAGTTTGGTCTTGAGAGAGTAGGCAGAGAAAACAAGTGTGGTAAATAGCAACAGAATCTAAGTTGGCATACAGTAAAAACATGAAATACAAAAGCTGGTAAGACAGTAAAAACATGAAATACGAAAGTCAACAAATTACCAATTTGACCATCGTTGGTAATAATATATTCACATGTGAATGTACTCATACCGCGTCATTTCTAATATGTAATGTATGTGTTGAGATCACTTGTAGTGTATTTTTTAGGCAAGACACATGATTCTTACTTGAAACTACTTTTGTGGTAAATCACATGAATAGTTGTGAATACAACTTTATCCATTTTATCCATACAAGAGTTAACGGAAAACCAACCAGAGAACCTCTCGGTTAGATGGTGCAAATATGTACTTTTGATAGGCAAAAAAAGAACGTTTTTAACCGTTCTCTTTTTCATCATTTCTTGCATCAAAATGTTGTAGAACTTGGTGTAAACAGTAATTCATTTTCAATCCATTACATTATTCATAACAGCAAATGAAATATTCTCAGTATACGTTATTGTTAAACAAAAATATGAAGTTTCTGTTGTTAAATTTTAGGGGTTGTTTGTCTACCTCTTAATAGTTCCATCAAGAGACAATTTCTGAATTGTTAAAAAGTGAATCTTATTTGACAAAAAGAAAGTATGTCTCTTAATAGTTCTAAAACCCTTTGAATAATTTTGTATCATGGGTCTCCCTTAACCATTCAGCGCCATAATTTCGTTGTAAATAATTACCAAAAAATTATATTTCATTTTGTACTATATCATCAGAACCTCTTAATCATTCTGCATCAAATCATTCAGCAACTACCAAATAGCACCTTAAACTGCGGATGTTTATCATTTTTAAACAAAAATATGAAAATCAATTGTATGTCACATAAATTTTTGTTAAGTACCAGGAGGTACCATGTTCAAATACAAGGGTGGTGTCTAATTGGTTTGAGTTTGGCTCCAAAGGTCAAAAATACTAGGAAGTACCAGTTTCAAATCCAAGAAGAAATAAAAATCCCCTTGTGGCCACGGAGGTTCAAATGCGATGACTCCGGACTATCTTGCAATGCAGGTGGTCACTCTGAGATTAGTCGGCTCGCATAACGGATTGGATATCCAGGTTAATAAAAAAAAGTTTGTTAATAAAAAAATTCATGGTGTACTTATTTTATTAAATTAAATGTGAAGGTTCATTGCATGATGTCATATCAAAATTTGTTAACAAACATTGTGAATGTTTATTTTCTTAACAAATAAATGTGAATTAAAGATTTTTTTTATCGTTAAAAAAATGAGAATATTTTATTGTATATAATCACAAAAATTTCTGATAAAAATGTGAAAGTTTCATTATTATTAATGAAAAACATGTGAAGGTTTAATTAAAAAAGGCTAAAAATAATATATATATATATATATATATAATTAAAAAAATATTATTTTGTTTGCTTTGGGTTCAATTTTGTTTATATTTTTGTATATTTTAATACATTTATATAATATAATATAATGTATGTTATAAAAATATAAAATATGCATTAGTGTATTTATAATACATTATATATATTTTATTATATATATGATGTATCTATTTAATTTAATTTATTTCTTTTATTCATCGTTTTATAACGTTGTATTTAAGTATCATCATTGTTTCACCTATGAATTTTAAACAAAAATCATTGTTTCATTTATGAAGTTTATAAAAAAATCATTGTTTCACCTATGAACTTTGTTTAAACTTTATTAATTATTTCATTTACTTTCCGGTTTCACCTACAAACTTCAATTAAAAAAAATGAGCAACGAATGTTCATACATGAAATAATATTATGAACTTTAAACAAAAATCATTGTTTCACCTATGACTTTGCTGGTTACTTCGGTAAGAAAATCGAAACAATTAAAGTTCATATATTAAATAACACTATAAACTTTAAACAAACACCATATGAAACATGATTATTTTCAATGTAGCAGTTCAAGAGGAAAAGATGGGTTGATGATTATCTTCCAAAAATAAAACATGATTATCTTTCGAAAAATAAAAATAGTTTTTTCCAAAATTGCCCTATATTTAATTCAATTTTTTTCCTTTTTATCATTTTAAAACCTCTTATTTAACCACAACCGTTGATTAAAAAAATCAATGACTCAGATGAATTTGTAAAGTTAATAATATTTACTTGGTTGATAAACGATTATGTGATTATATATTATATATAGATTGTACAACTAATAATATATTTTAAAATATATCAAACATATTTATGTATTTTCATGATGTATAATATATTTCTCATTTATTATATATATATATATATTTATGAATCATATAATATTATATTTATAAATTGTATAATACTAGAAAAGTACTCGCGCAATGCAACGAGATACATCTTGATTTTAATATTTTATTTTATTTTTATCTCAGTCGATGTTATAATATGGTCTTATGTGATTTTGAAAAAGCGATGATGTTTTTATTTTTGAATAAAGTATAAATTTGAAGATATCATAAAAATTTGACAAAAATATATCGATATTAGTATCAAATTAATATTTAAAATTTCTCATTTTTTATGTAATTTTTAATTTAATTTTTTTATTATAATTTATTTTAGGTTCAATAAAGAAGTATTTTTATATTTGGTTTAATAATATAATTTTTTTATAAAGATAATAGTTAATTATTTTGTTAGAACTCGATGATTATACTAATTATATTTTAGATTTTTTTTATTTTAAAATGAGATGTTTATCCTCTATTTGATTATGTTTATCTGTAGTTAGTTACACAAATTCAAATATGGAGCTTTAATAAGTTGTACTTATCCATAATTTACTTGTAATCTTGAATTTTAAGTAATATGCATCAATATGCGGTTCTTCATGCATAAAAAAAAAATTTTGTCAAATGTTTTATAATATAGTATAGATATAATATTTTTAGAATATATATATATATATATATATAACATATACTATATACTATATATGTATTGTAATATAACATAAAATTAATATATTTTTACATATATATATAGATTGTATAATATATTAATATATTTTAGAACATATAGGAGCACAATTATTTGTTAACCAAGTAAATAGTATTGAGTTTGTTAACTGATCTAAGTTTTTATTTTTTTTAATCAACGGTTGTGGTTAAATAAAAGGTTATAATCTAATATAAAAAATAGAAATTAAATGGTACTAAATAAAGGGCATTTTTGGAACAAATTGTTTTTATTTTTGGAAATTAATTAAATTTTAATTTTGTAAGATAATCAATAATAATATTTAAATGATTTTTTTTTGGAAGATAATCATATTTTATGTTCGGAAGATAATCAATAATAATATTAAAAGGATTTTTGTTTAAAGATAAAACCAAAAAATTCGTAGGTGAAACAATGATTTTTATTTAAAGTTTATAATGTTCTTTTAGTATGAACTTTGGTTGTTCCAAAAATTGTGTTATTTTATAGATTTTGAGTATATTGTTTTGTTTTATTTGTAAAATTTATGAATAAACTAATTTCCTTACAAATTTCATTAATGAAATCATGTTATCTAGTTCTCAAAATGTTTCATTCATGAAATTAATTTCATTTTGGTTAATAACCATGAAACTAATTTCATTAATGAAATTAGTTTATTTAGTTTTTAAAATGTTGCATTGACTGAACCATATTTAGTTTCATTAATAAAAACCAATTTCATTTTGGTTAGAAACCATGAAACCAATTAAACTAATGAAATCATGTTATTCAATTTTCAAAATGTTTCATTCATGAAACCAATTTTACCAATGAAATCATATCATTCAGTTTTCAAAATGTTTCATTCATAAAACCAATTTCATTAATGAAATCATATTATCCAGTTTTCAAAATGTTTTATTCAGTTTTCAAAATGTTTCATTCATTATTGTTGATTAATAATAATTTTTAAGAAAGAGGATTTAATTTCGGGAAAGGAGATTTCAATGATCTCAAACATTTAAACGTGTTCCAGTTTTGCCCCTTATTGGGGAAAATGATAAAAAAAATTGTTTTATTTTTTTACTTTCTTAAAATAACTTGTTTTAATCATGATCTTTGATCATGAGAATAGATGGATACGATTGGTTTGTAGAGCTTGTATGAAATGGATGGTTTGCAAAGTAAACCTCTTCTCTCTTTATATATTATGTGATAATTACAGAGGTGGTCCCTATAGTTTGTTGGTTATGAAAATAAGAAAAAAAAACAGAAAGAGTAAAGACAAACAATAAAACAGATAGAAATGCCTTTTTTTCTAACCAATTTTTTATAACAAAATTAGTGATCATGGACCATTTTCAAAACAAAATACAAACCATAAGGATAATTTTTAGACTTATCAAAGTTCACGTCCACTTTTAGACTTTTCACTAAATCTAAGGGACCAAAAATAGAGTTTAAACCAACTTAAAATAAAAGAACGTTTTTTTATGGATTGGTGTAGACGGATTGATATATCACTTAAATTGCATAAAAAAATTAGAAATATTTAATACTCAACTCATTTTAAATACGTCGACAAAACTTTTCTAAAAGTGTAATTTATAAATAAAATACGTATTTTTAATGTATTTTTTTGTTAAAATTATCATTAATTGATTAATATAACAAAGTATACATTAAAAAAAATGAAAAGGGTGAAAAAGACAAAAAGAAAAAGACAAACTAAATGAGAACTAATTAGTTTGTGGTAAGGTCTAATATGAGTTAATCATTTTATGATATTAATTGTATTACCTTAATTAATAGGTAAAGGATGTTTTAGTAAAATGATTAACTATAGTTTAAATATTTTTCTTATTTAGTAGTTATTAATCAATAATTCGGTTTTCTTAATTATCTCAACAAAATTGATTTTATAGATTATCGTTTCCTGATTCTTCAAACCTTTTATTCATCGTTTAAATCATACCATAAAATCAAAACCTTCTGACAAACTGAATAAAAAATGGAGTTATATACATACCCATCTCGTTCTTCCCTTCACCACAACGCATCTCATTGGAGACCTCTACAGTGCAATACAATACGATCTCGTCGAAGATTTCGATGATGAGCTAAGCCCATATCTCGTCGGAGACCTCGACGATGCACCACAACACGATCTTGTCGAAGATTTTGATGATGCGCTAAAGCCCAGATCTCGTCAGAGACCTTGACGGTGCACCACAACGTGTATCACATTGTGGGTTGTGTGTGGCTTAAAACTATGATCACATATGTTATCAACCCATGTTCAAAAAGTTATCACAGTGGTATCACAATGTGTATTATAATTGGTTTTGTGTCTTACTGTTATAACATCTTGGTTATCACAGCGTGTATAAAATAGAAGGGTAAATTAGTAATTTGGGTTGATTATTCAATTTACTTTAATTAGTTTAATATTCCAATTTACTTTAATTAGATTAATTACTTTATTTTGGGGGAAAAGCCTACCTCTGATCAACCTATACTCATCTGTGTCAGAAGATCTTGCCTAGTAGTTGCACTAACAAATGTTTCAATTGATCAGCTGAAGATATCATCATCTAAAGATCCACTAGCTGGTGGATCATCATCTGACGATGTTCCATCTGAAGAACTGTGTCTCCACAAGGGACAACAAGGACAGAGGTACAATCTACATACTTGCTCCTAAGTGCTTTTCCTCTTTTGTCAACCCGGTAAGGAAAACCAAGGTTACTTCGCATTTAATCTGGTGTGGCTTGCTTATAGTGCGGTATACGTTGCATATAATGCATTACGGGCGCAACCATAACAAGGAGGAAACATGCAAAAATCAATCGGATGAACAGTGCCCTGAAAGTTGAAATAGGACATCTTGTCCATACTTTATCATAATGTTGTTTTGTCTCATTGGACAGGACACTACCTATAAATACGCAGTAAAGCTTTGAAAATCAATACGTAGAAATAGAGTTTAATAGAGAATACCGTGTTGTTCTTCAAAGATTCAAAGTTCATCAGATCAACCACTGTCTCTATGCAACTTCAGTCATCCTTCTGTGATCACTAAAGGATTTTACTTGTGCGTGATTCTTGTTGTTGATAATATGTTTTCTAGTAATCTACTTTTAAATGCTTCTTACTTCTGCTGTTGATTGGAGTTGTTTTGGATTGTTACAAGATAATGATCGAACAGAACCATCAAAAACACGTTAAATCCATTTGGGAACGAAACAAAGTGTGACAAATCAGTCGAGATCAACGTTGTATATCACCAATGTACTTTAAGATGTCATAGGTTTATGCAGTATATATGCATTACGGTTTTCAGTATTCATCAGCTTTATGTGATCATTTGAAGCATGTTAATTGTTACAATTCAGTTTTTGATTCTCAAAAATGTTGTGGTGTTTAGACACCACGTATTTGAATAAAACGTTTCAGCTTAAAGCCATGACCTTACTTAACGTAATGTTGATAATAGAATGTACCTCAAGAACTGAGAAGGCAAAGACCAACAAAGGGAGATGACAACATGGCCTTGGATTAGTCCAGATGGGCACAAAGTTCGCCTGACATCGATAGTTAACAGCAAAAATCTATAAATAATTGGGTGTTACTATTACGTAGTGATGGCCAAAAACCGGTCCCGGGCCGGGCCCAACTGGTCCCAAGATTTCTCATAACCGGTCCTGGTCAAGCTTTATTGTAACCGGTTATGGGCCGCTGTTCTCGGTCATTAAAAAATAATTTTTTTAATGAGATATATTTTTAATACATTGTAAAATTTGTAATTGGGTCACCAAATACACTTTAAAAATGCGTTTTATTATAATTAAAATTACAGTGTCTTACAAAATATAACGAGAAACCGATAATTGTGAACGTTTTTTTGCGCTTTTTGTGAATCGAGAACTTGGAATGTAAATTCCTCAACTAAGACATTTATATATAGTGTTTAGAAAGCAAAAAAAATACAAAAAACGGCTACATTTATTTAAAAAAATGCCTACATTTTTTAAAAATCGGGTCGGGCCAGGCCGGTCCATAACCGGTCCCGATCCCACGAAACACCCCAAATCCATAACCGGTTCCAGATTTCAGTCCTATAACCGGTCATTACCGGTCCCGGGCTGGGCCGGTTTGGCCATCACTACTATTACACGAACATTTAGTGACACCATAGTTAAGGGTTTTAATGTTACTTGAGACCGGTCTGACTTTAACAAATACATTTTATTTTGTACTGTATTTATTTTTTACATTATCTTTATTCAATTAACACACCATATTTTGTACAGTTTTGGTATTATGCATAGTCTAACACCAAAACCATACCTTGATAAGAAATGTTATATCAGTAATATGTTACATGTGGACATTCTACATGGACAATGAAATATGATATGGAAATTTGGTAACTGGTGTCATATCATCTTAACTCAAATCAAAATGTTACCCATTGTTATAATAGATAAATTTTTCAAAGAACAATGCATTAAGAAAAGTAACTTGAAAGTATATTGTTGTAATAAAAAATAAAGATACAATGTTACAATAAGAAAATTTGTGAAAGTAGGTGTCTCTTACTAGAAAACGGAATTGGAGGTCCGATCAAGAAAAAATCCGAGCCTTTTGCATCTCTATTTTTCATGTACTAAAAGTTGATTTAAGTCGGAATTAAGGGATATAAGTAAGAAATTGTAAAAGTTGAAGGACTAATATGCAAATACTTGAAATACACAAAGAGAAAGGAAACAGAGCCTCCTCGCTCATATGAACTGTGGAAAATCCACACCAAAAGAGGCAAAGGTTGATTGGCATGATCTTMTGCTGTTTYTCTCTCYGTAACAATTTCTGCTAAAGGTAAACCAAATGATCCCATTTCTCTTCAATCTTTACACCCAATGCTTCCATATCCTTTGTTTCTTGAATGATWYAATCGATTTTRTGTTCGATAATCGTTTCTCACTGACGAGGGATCTTCTTTCTTTTTYTGGGTTAAAATTTTCTTCCCTTTTTTGRATGAAAATTTTGGGTGTTTATAGAGAGAGAAGGAAAAGAAAATGGGTAGGCTGTTTGTGGTAACTCTCGAGGGGAGCATCTACAGTTGTAAGCATTGCAAAACCCATTTGGGCCTCTCCGATGACATCATCTCTAAGGTATATAAATCTCATCTTCCCTCATGCAATTGGAAATGTGTTTCTTCGTATGTGATCAAGAATGTGTCTCTATTTACATGATATGATCAAACGAAATGGTATAGAATTGGAGATGGAAATGGTTTTTTCTAATGTGTTAGGGTTCTATAATTTAGTAGTGGGTTTGATGTAATAGACTTAGGGGCTGTTAGGTTGGTTTTCCGTAAGTGGGATAAAGCTGTCTCGGTGGATTAATCCACCTGTGTAGGTTTTTGTTTGGAGTGTATTTTCATAATGAAATGAGCATGTTTTTTTAATTGGGAGGGGGGGGGGGGGTTTGGAAGAAAACTTGGCTTTCTGAATAAAGCTCCCCCCATAGGGTTACCGAATAAGTATGTCATTAAGCGAGTACCAAACGGTCATGTATAGTTGACGGAATAAGTTGTGAGTCCTATTAAACTCATTAAGCCCTTACTCTAGCAAGATGTCAAAACTTATTAATTTTCTGTTTCTTGTTTGAGTTAGAAAGATTGTTTATACTTTCTATGTTGATTAAAATATATATATGTTCTTGGTTGTTATGGCTATTTTGGTGGTGTGAATGTATTTTTTAATATATTTTGCAGTTCATTTGTGTACTGAGGGGAGATACAATCCATTATTTCCTACCGTATAATGTCCTTTTTCATGTTACGTTGGATGTGGAAGTCGAATGGAATCTATTTGATGGTCATCTTTCATGCAATATATTTCCTTTGTTAAACTCATGAATAATTAGCCATGATGTTATGATCTCATGTTTTAGTTTCCTTCTCTAAATCTTATGACACTCTTTTATAAAAATGGCAACCATCGTGCACCAACGCTCCTTGAATTCGTGAGGGCAATCGTGAGAGTTCTTTATGCTTAGCCGTTCCCTTCTATTTCAAACCTGTGTTTTTTTAGCCATAAAGATTAACCATATAACTCAGACCTCGTGGAAAAAATCCACTATGTTTACTAGCAATGTGTCTTTTTACACGATGAAACAAGAGTTTAGTACATTTTTTGATGAAATTGATACTTATCCGAACCTTAAAAAGTCACCATATCTTAATCAGATACCAGACAGCAAGTGGGAGATTGACATCCTTTCAATCTTGGCTAAAGAGAAGCGACTAAAATTTTTGAGTCAATGCAAATATAGAGCCAGTTTGATGTGGTAATTGTGCAAAATGAGACTTTCGGTGCCACGAGGATAAAGGTACAAAAGAAGTCCTTTGAAAAACCGCATGGTCTTTCTCCAAAAAGGAAGAACCATTCGTATAAAAAATGGGGGTTTTGGTTTCGTAGCGCTCACTTGAATTGGTTCAAGATGGTTAATAAAGGCTACACCTTTTTGTTTCAGTAAATCGTCTTCCATTTCCATTGTAGCAAGCCATTTCCATTGTAGCAAGCCTTCTTAGTTGCAGATTTCGTCTAGTGATAATCGTCTTACCTCTATAATCCAATCTTTTACTATTTACTATATATGTTGCGATTATAATAAATGAAACTTGTGTAGGTAGCAAGATAAAAAATGGATAGAAATTAGGTACCCTATCAGGCCTTGCTTTTGCAAGCTCTCAATGTCCTTTCCTTTTCTTTTTCTTTTTGGGGCTTTTTGTTTCTTAGCTTTGAGTAGTTATTAACATTTGAKATAATCAAGTTGTTAAAGTTTTTTTATTCTCTTAAAATGGCAAGTAGATTATGATTTACTTCTGTCAAGAGATACGATCCAGCTGAACTCCACAATTAAGGTCTAATACTTGGATGATCTGTTCGTCTATTTAGAATAGAATTGGAATTTGTTTCTCTTATGGCTGTGACATGCTCAACCATTTAGGTCTTTACTCTTCAGAATAGATGTTAGTATAGTAAGAGTGTTCTTGAGAAGCATCCTGAGAAATTAAGTTTTGGATCTGCATCCATAAACGTAAAGTGAAAGTTCCTCACTCATATATGGTACTTAATGTTCACAACTGAGCAATAAACATAAAGGGAAACTCCCTCGCTCCTATATGGTACATAATGTTCACAAATTGAGAAATGTGTTCAAGTTGGAATACTACCAACTAAACCAAACCAAACATACCTAGTAGATCCCACTCAAATCTCAGAAGTAGGGGGATAGGATGTACATAGACCTTTCCTCTGCCTCATGGAGTAGAGGTTGTTTTCGTGAAGACCCCTGACTTGACAAAAAGTTTGGGAAGTCAAGAAGAGGTTTAGATGCACAGTGTGAAATATTTGTAAAATTTGAGAGTGTGCCAAAACGAAGTCTATTATAGATGGTAGAACAGTATAGCAATGTAACACGATGTAATGGGTAAGTTTACCCGAACCTGAGGTCCTAACTAGTTATCGCTCACATTGGGCACTTCTAACTACGTGAAAAGTTCCCTTAGGAAACTGCTAATCTAATTCTCAGTTTTATAACCCTTCCCCCATCCCCCTCAGTGTCTCCATCCTCTCTCTCCCCATCTGCAACAGCTAATAGTCCCTCTAAATAACCTGCCACCTTAGTCATGTTTGTCTAAGAACTCCTACTATCAAATGTTTAAGTGAATCTACTAAAACTAGGGGAGTTTCATTTAAACCACACAAAGTCCCACTAGGGATAAACTCAGGTAATATTCTTTGACATTGCAAGGAAAGACAAAGGGACAAATGACGGTTAATTGGGTGATGGCCTAGTTAATGGTGATGCAAAACTCATTATTGCTCATTGTGGAAATGGATGGCCATTTTATATAGATGAATGGTGATCTTAGGGAAATGGATGGCTATCGTATGGGTATGAATGGTCATCTTGGGGAAAATGGATAGCTATTTTGTAGAGATGAATGGATCTTGGGGAATTGAATGGTCATCTTTCCTATTTAGGCACACCAAACACATTAAAAATACACTCTTGTGAGCACTTTTATGGTGAGAGCAACACTTTGTCAATCCAATAGAGAGGTTAATATTTATAAGTGAGATAACAACCTGTGTAGGGGTGTCAAATTAGTACCAAACCAAATCAGCCAACATGGATACCAACCGTATTAATCAAATTTTTACCAACTTAATTTGGCTGGTACTATCATACCAAATATGCAAAACTTGGTTGGTATGCAGTAGCAGAAATCTTAAAACCATGGTACTATACCGTATTGACTTTTTTGTATTTAAATATTTAATTAAATATTAGTTATTAATTAATATTTAATTAACCATAATGGCCCTAGCTTTTGAGTTTTCCCTTTTTCTAATTTGACTCGAAATTTCATTTCATTTCCTATCCTTAACTCGGTCACGCTCACTCCACTGCTCTCTTTTGCTATGTCCAAACTAATACCTAGAAGCAATTTGCATTATTATTTTCTTTTTGTCTTTCGAGTTTAGACGTTTTGTCACATGTTTGAAACATTGTTTGATTTGTGAAGATCCCATGGAACACAACCTTGTTTGAAATTTTATATTAGCTTCGAAGTATTAAACACTGTAATGTTGGACTTTGTTTGGGTATTGATCATATTTTTGCTTGTTTTTACGTATTCAAATTTACAAGTTCTGCCATGCTGGTACATAAATAATACCAACATGTACCAACCGCAAAAAACTTGGTACCCAATAAAGTTGGTTGGTACATTGTATAGGATTTTTTTGTACCAATTATAAGTTGGCTGGTAAATTGTATAGGGAAAAAAACATGGTATCGTACCATATTCACCCCCAATCCTTTGTACTTCTTATTTCGTTTTCCATAGTGATTATCAACTTCCTCCCTCTGTGTGGATGTACACTATTGCATTGATAGTGGAACCACGTCTATTCGGTGTTGCCTCATCTTGTTTATGCTTACTTTTTGTTTCCGTGTATTTGGTTTTGTTTTTGTTTTTGTTGAACACACTTCGATAAGATCCATTTTGTTCCACATTGGTTGTTGGGTTTGGTCTTACTTTGTGTGATTATTGGGACGTGAGATTCATCTAAAACCCAACAAGTTGTATCAGAGTTTGGGTTTGGGAAAGTTCTTAACATGATCCTGCGGCTTAGATTGACCCTCCATGTCAGAAGGGAATTCTCATTTGATGGATGTTGAGGAGGTGTTTGGATATCTGCATTTGCATCGTCCTGTAGACTTGTTATCACTCACCGCTTTGCAACTTGCAATGGTGGTAACTTTTTGCGGTTTAATGAATCTTCCACTTATTTGATGGGTTGGTTAAGAGATTATTTATGGTTAAACTCTTCACAACTTATTAATGGATATAACCGGGTTATTTGGAAAATTACTAGCGGAACCACCGCAAGGGTTATTTAGACAATGTTAGAGGAGATATACTTGAGGAAATCCTTACGAACCGCTTAATTCTCTTGAAGACCGTTACATACAAGATGAAGGACGGGACATCAATCAAGAATCATCTGAAATCTTTTGACAACTTGATCTCAAAGATTAAGACCGTAGATCTAAAGATTGATGAGGAGCAATGACCAGATTTGCGAATTCCTTAATCCTCAGGAGAGACTATCACTATGGTGTACGTCATGGCGACTCTTTTTAAGTGAGGAGTTGAGAGACCAGAAGGGATGGATTATACCACGAGGTCGGGACTATGGAAAAATTGTCGGGTTGTTTGTAGAGAGAGACCGTGATGACATGACAGTTAGTGGGCGTTCCAACTCTAGGAATCCCCTGTTCGAGGAGCAAGTCCAAAGTTACAGCCCCGTGCAGTTACTGCAAAAATATCGGCCGTTCGGGAGGGAATGTCCCAAATTATTGAAGAAATTAGAGACTGAAGACACGTCCTCAATTGCGACAGAGGAGGGTGCACTTTTGGCCACAATGAACTCTTTAGTAATGGATCATTGTACGTCTTTCGACATGACGTTAGATAGATGTCGTTTTTCTATGTTCGAGACAAAAGTGGGAAACAACATTTCATTGGAGAATGGTGCTCTTTGCAAAAGCTGATGGGCTTTGGATCCGTGAAGATTAGAATATTCTATGGCTGCGTGCCTATGATCTTGGATGTGAGATATGTTCCACGTTTGTTGTGATATCTGATTTTTGTGTGCCAATTGACTGTGTGCTTGCAAGGCAATTTTTAAGGAGGATGGTTTGAAGATTCGAGCATTCGCATGGTCGATTTCGTTCTCCAATTTCTTCTGCAGCGTATGTTCTGATAGGAACCAAATGATATATATATATATATATATATTATATAAAACTAATAACAAGAATCAAAATACAAAATCGGCATGCTTTTGAGAAGCAGCCATCTACACCAAAGATGATTGAATCCTAGAGTTTGTCATAATACTTAATTTCTCCTAGTTCATATTTATAAATGAGTTCCTAAGGGCACATTGAAAATATTAGTCTCAAGTCACATACTACCCAACGATGTGTTTTATTGTCCACAACCTACAATTTATATCAGCATTCACAATATGGTATGATATGTTGAAACCAACTAAAGAGTAGAATTCCTCTTCTTTTGGATCCCCTTAGGGGGCGCTTGGTTTGATGGAATGATTTTGAGGGATTTGGATTTCGTGGAAGGATTTGGAACCCTTGGTGTGTGGTTTGTAGGATTTGGAGTGGAATTGAATTTCATTCTTTTTAAATAATTTATAAAAAATATATAAATAATTAAATTACCTTTTTAATAATTGATTATTACAAAACAAATGCTTTTAACATATTTTAGAACATCGTTACGTGCAGATTCTACAAAATCCCGTGAAATACCAACCACCCCATTGGAATGCAAAATCCTATGTGGGATTTCAAATCCAAGAAATCCTTCAAACCAAACATTGGATTGAAATGGAATTCAGTTCCAAATCCCTCCAAATATAATCCAATCATGCAAACCAAGCGAGACCTTAGTCTCTTTAGACTGCGTTTTGGTACCGAACTGAAGAGGACAGAACTAGTTGTTTGTATAGTGTTTGGTAAAACTATTATAGGACGGGACAAAATGTTAAATGGACCAAACCCGACGAGCCCAGTATCTCACTCGGAGGTGGGGTCCGGGGGTAAGATGTACACAGACTTGACCTCTACCTTAAAGAATCAGATGTTCTTGTGGATTATCCTCAAGTTTCTTCTGCCTATAATTAACAGGCGTATATTTGTTGTTTTGCTTTGATTTATAACAGGCTTTCCACAGTCGACATGGAAAGGCTTATCTCTTTGACAAGGTGTAAGTATTCTTGTCACTTTTAAAAAATGTTTATAGAAATGTTTATGGATTGATGTCATGATTCTATTCTTTCCAGTGTGAATGTGACTGTCGGAGAGAAAGAAGAGCGGATGATGATAACTGGAATGCATACTGTTGTCGACATATTTTGTGTTGGATGTGGTTCGATTGTCGGGTGGAAATATGTGAGATCTTATTTGCATTCATACTTCCATTTTTAGTAATTTTGAGCTTCTAAACTACTTCTGTCCTGATATAAGTGTCCACGTTTCTATTTTAGGGGTTGTTTGGTTGATTTTTCATTGAGTCTTATATGGATAAAGCTGTCTATGTGGATTAATTTGTCTATATAGGTTGAGAATGTTTTGTTTGGGAGGGTTTTTACATAGATGAAAGGAGTGTGTTCTTTAATTGGGATGGGCAAGTTTGTAAAAAACTTGGCTATCTGAATAAAGGTCCCCCCCCCCTAGAATCTTACTAAATAAGTCATTTTCTATATCATTAAGCCACTATTAAACAGTCATGTATAGCTGACCAAATAAGTTGTGAGTTCCATTAAGCTCATTAAGCTGCTAACAAACAGGCCCTTAGTTTGTCCCAAAATAAGTGTCAACTTTCAGAAGGAAGTGGCTACTTTCCAAATTTACCCTTAATCGTAAGATGGATAAATTCTTTACTTGGTAAGGGTAAAATTGTCATTCTAGTTGTTTAAAAAGTGTAATAATCACATATTTTCAAAACTGTGTGCCTTTTTTATTGTGGACATTTATTTTGGGACAGATGTGTCTAATTACCACATGATTGTGTGTTAATTTCAGGAGTCTGCACATGAGAAGGGGCAAAAGTACAAGGAAGGGAAGTTTATTCTTGAAAGGTATGCACTAGATTTTGTTAGGGCAAAATGCAGCAAAGCTTCGTTTAGTTCCCTTTTTAATATAACGAACAATCCTTTTTTATCTGAATCAATGTAACCAAGTTTCAAAATTTCCTGTTTTGTACCCATTTTGACCGGTAACATGTTGATCTTGTAACATTTGTGGATACCCGTTTACAGAAGATCTACAAAATGTTTCTTGAAGGGTTATTGCAAAGTGCACTATAAACTTGACATGCATGTCATCAAATGTTACAAGATCTGTAACCAGTAGGTTAGAGGTCAAAATGGGTACAAATAGAAAATTTTGAAACCTTGTCACATTGATTAGAAAAAAGAAAATTATTTGTTACGTTAAATAGAAACTAATGCAAACTTCATTGCAGTTAGATTCATTTTTCTATTTTCTACCACTTTGTCAAGATTGAAAAAGATCTACACTTTTGAAGATTTTCTTTCTCGAACAATATAACAAAGTTTTCTATTTTGTACTCATTTTAACCTGTAACCGGTTGATCTTGTAATATTTGATGATGTAGATACAAGTTTAGGAAAAGGTTACAGCAAAGTGGATGAAAACCTTCACATGCACGTCATCAAATGTTACGAGATCAAATAGACTACCGCTCAAATGAGTAAAACATAGGAAATTTTTAAAGTTTATTACATTAAATTGGAACTAAGACAAACTTCATTGCATTTAGGTTCATTTCTCTATTCTACCCTTTTGTCAAGATTGAAAAAAGTCTACACTTCTTTGAAGAATAATTTTTTCTCGATCAATGTAACAAAATTTCCTATCTTGTACCTATTTTGACCGTTAACCAGTTGATCTTGTAACATCTGATGACGTGGATATATGTTTACGAAAAGGTTAGACGATAAACTTGGCACACACCTCATCAAATAGGTTATTGTTCAGAATGAATAAAAGATAGGAAATTTCGAAACTTTGTTACACTAAATAATGAGGAACATAGGCATCGTTGCATTTCTGTATTCTACCATTTTGTGAAGATTGAAAAGAGATTGAGATTTTTGAGCAGGTTTAAGGTTTTGGGTCCGGATGGGAGCATGTATGTACTCGGGCAAGAGGTTCAGGTGGGCGGAAGCGACGCAGATGACGCGTGATTCGGTCTCATCTGCTGTCTATTTGTACAGTCCCATTAAAATGTGGTCTACTTTCTTAGGCGGAAATGAATTTGTAGGATGATTTTAGTGCAAAAAAATCATATATTTTTTAGTCACTCTTTGTGGCTATTTTCTTCGTATTTCCGAGGTTTTCCATGGGGAGTGTCTTTGACTGATGAACTCAAGAGTCGTGTGTTTGAATCATTTTTTTGGTCAAGGAAAAGCTGATGTACAAAATACGAGCTTCCTCCGATCCCGTGGTTGTGCTTTGTTTCAATCAATGCCCTTTTTGATCGACCGAAAAGTTGTAGTGACATCATTTATTGTGATGATATAAGAAATAGTTGGCGTTTATTGGTGGTCGATCGTGGTGGTAGCATTCGGATTATGGTTTTCGTTGATTGGTAATAGTTGATCACGCAGTGTTGGTTCAAATGTAGATTAAAGCGTTTGCTAGAAAAGAACCATGTCATATGTATGTTGAAAGCGACCTGAACGTATTAAATCAGTTTGAAAACATAGACATCCTGTCCCGTTTTAAACCCATGCTAACAATTATTCATCGTCTCGAACCCGTTTTTTATTAGGGTTCTAAAAGGCGTGTCATAGCGTAAGATACATTTTCGTCACCAAGATAAGGTCTGTAACATTTGTGCAAGGCGGAATTCACTTTACACATTGATGGATACATTTTTTACAAGGGTTTTAACTTTTTTTTAAAAAAATTTAAAAAAATAGGTTTTTGTGTTTCGAGATTTTACACTTTTACATATTTATCTAATCACATTGATTCGTAGATTGGCACAGGTACATACACATCATGAATTCAGGGTTAAAACGAAGTTATAAAACCCTTCCAAATTATATTCTAAATCTTCAATCACATATTCTTTACATGATATTAATATATATGAATTTTCTTCTAATATAAATTTAAATTGTTTAAAATCATCATCTCATTGAATAATAAATAGAAAACATATATGTATATATAATTATATATACGACATAAATTTCTCGATTTACATCACGCCTAGAAAAAGGGAGCGTAAGGCTTGAGGTTTGATCTCGCCGTCAGGACACACCTCACGCCATCTAAAGCCTTATCCAATATATCTATCTCACTCGAAATTATACACTCCGTATAATGTACAAAGAACTTATCTTTATCACAAGGGAGTAGCGAGGTTGTTTCCTATCCCAAAGTGGTCTTTTGTAGAGATTTCAGAACCAAAATAGGACCGTCAAACTCAACCGAGCTTAAAACCGACTCTACATGGCTAGGCCTTTCTAGGAGTAGTCTCAAACCGAGCCTGGGACTAGTCTTCGAACTAGACTATTTATGCATCAGTATGTGCATATGAAAGGTTATGGACAAAATTTTTGAATACAAGTTCGTTGATAACTTTCGTCAAACCTACTTCATTACAATTTGTTTTTTTGCCAAAAGGGTATGACACCACCCTCTAGAGCCCCCTCAGTATCGGTCCCACGGCTATTGTGGGAAATATAAATTTCCATGCCCTTGGGCAGCTGAGTAGTTTCTGAAGTCAAACCCCAGACCTCCCATTCATCGGCAAGAAAGTCCACCTCCATACCAGCTAGCTTGGACATTACGAATTGCTTCACTCACAAGATCATCCTACTTGGTCGTTATCAAATGGCATTTTTAATGGTTATCTTTAGGCAAAAAATTGATTACCAACAACCCCAACCGGCCCCACACAGAACCCGCCTCCAAAGACACCAATGTGAGGGAGCAATTTTTGGCTCACTCAGCAGCTGAGGCTACCAGGTGGAGGGACTGAGATCAAACCTAGGACCTATCTTGTATTTGGGCAAAGTCACCCCACTCCTTTGTCAACTGAGG